TTACTAGCACACGTTTTTAGTGCATTATCAATCGAACATACGGAAATTCTAAACCAGTAAAGTGGAAGCCAACCGAATACTACATAATGAAAGAGGGCGCACTCAGTGCGCACTGGTGCGCACTAGTGTATCCAATCGAATTCGCCATTAGTCAGTCAATCATGGAGGCTAGATCCGAAAGGTTCTAAAATAGAATTGTTGTAATCGGTCTAGGTTACAAATAGCCGAAATAAAGAATCGAGCGAGAATATCGCGAACAATATCGACGATGCGTCGCGCGTTCGTGAACTAGTCATGTTCTCCGCGATCTGTTTCGAGCAACGTGATTAAACTCATGTACTTTATTTATACCTATTGTTATTAAATATATCTATATAATCAAAGACCACAGTGTATCTGAAATGCATAAAGTGGCAGTACTTACCTCTCCTAGATCCTATCCTGAAAAGGGAAAGAAGCATCGGGTTTACAGGAACAATGAGGGGGGCGAATGGTATCTGTGCGTCCCTAGAAGATACCTGGCGACCGTGAAAACCTGCAAAGGTAAGTAAAAGTGAACATTTGTAAAAAATTGACTGGAAAATCCGGTCACAACCTAACCTAACTAATCTATTTTATATATGTCACTACGATACAGTAGCGTACAATAAAAAGTACGCTAAAAAAACTATTTTGGGCTTTGACCAAGACGCTTGGTTGTTTCGCGCATTAACCAGTCAATCTTAGGAACACCCATGCTTCGGGCTTTGACCATTTTTTTAATAGTTAAGGGCCTTCTACAATGAGATATTAGTAATAAATCAGAAGTCAGAAGCAAGAAATTGACCAATCACAGTCAAATCACAGAAGAATAATCGATTGTGATTAGTCAATTTCTTGCTTCTGACTTCTAATTTATTACTAATAACTTATTGTAGAAGGCCCTTTATAGTACTAGTTTATAATAAACAAAAGAATAATTATATAACACTTTTATTAACATAATTAATTTATTTATATGCCATTATAGTAATCTATATAATGTTTTTTTTGTTATATAACCTTTTTAGTTACTACTGCAACAGTAATATAACATTTTAGTAACATGTTATAGTCAGATTATATAACTGCAATTTGAGGTATGAGTGGGAAATTACAACTAACGTGAACGTTACCTGTAACAAACACGTTATGTTACTTGTTACTTTCCGTTTCATTACGGCAATGTTACGTTTATGTATCTGTGTTTGCTGAGCTTGAATATTCAACAAAATATATATATATAGGGTTATAAGAGCCGATCGAAAGATATTTGTGCGGATCTGTTGCTCTGTGTTGAGGCCAGTCGCGCCGTTTGTTTAGTAAAATTGTCTCGCGAGCAAGGAGACGTCCTCCGCCATATTTGGGTATTCGGTAAGACGAGCGGCTGGAATCGGGCTTCACGAGGCTTTGTGGCACTGAGCGGTCGCAGGAGTAATACTTGAGTATTAAAATTACAGTAATAAGCTCTGGAGACGTGCCAAGCAGCAATTATCGTGTTCGTGTTGTCGCAGAAATCTATTTTGTATTGCCTGTTGTGTTTTTTTTCTTGTGGTGTTGATTGTTATTCGCAACGTCGGCAGATAGTCGACTGAAAATAACGTTATTTCAAAATTTTATATCGCCGTGCCGTTTATATTATGTGTTGTAGCGTTGCCGCCCGACCCGCGCTTTTAACAATATTTAATTAACGTTTTGCAACATTCTTATCTGCTTGTAAGTGCCGGAGACGAGGTGCGAGCAAGATAACCGGAGTCGAGCGGATAAACAACGTGTTTTACATTCAGAAAAAGAACTAACCGGCGCTCCAGTATAATAAATTCCCGCTAACTAATTGGCTTTGTATATGATATAACGTGCTGGTAAATCGACAGCTTGTTCAAGCTAAAAGAGCGTCAAGCCTCCCTCGCCCCACTTCGTTTCTCCGTTAACTGCCAGACTTTTGCCTAGCTTGAGGCAAAGTGTCTAGCCTGGAACATCCGAAATCTCCATTCTGTGAATTACGGAGTAAGCTCTCCTTTGACACGTGAGTATCGTGATGCATCTGCTTGGCTTGAACGCCTGCTACGCTTTTCTTTTATCGTAGTGTTGTCGGTAACCTAAGTTAAACTTGCACGCCTCATTTACGATCACCTCTGGGTGTGTTCACGTAGTTAGCACCCTAAATCGCGCCTTGAGGTACGTTCTTATTTTGCGGCAGAGTGCGACTTCACTTTCTTGCGACCTGGCGTACCACTTTGTGATCTATGACCTCTGCATGCCCTTGCTTGTGTGAAAAGTCGCGTTGCATCAGCCATGTTGGTTGGATGTGCGTAATTCTACTGTAAATATTTTTGGACACTTTTAGCATATGTTTTAGCATATGTTTTTGCTAACATTCTTTATATCTACATTCAGACACAGACTGGCGTATGAACTAACCGTTTTCTCGGTTCAAGAGCCACAAGCGCACCAAAACCAAAACCACCCTTGCTTGTGTATTGCGGCTACTTTCCGTGTTTGATACGCGCTTTATCGACTGCTTACGCGGAAATTGGAGAAAAACACTAAACTTTCGGCGATTTACATTATCTGGTAATTATAGCGTTGACGT